CTATAAATCATTGTGATTCACACACTTTACTTACGGTGCCTACTGTTCGCTTGACTCAATTATCTCTATCTTCAATCTATCTCTGCAATTCTATCTTTTTTTACTGGCTTTATTTGTCGGGCTTATATACTAAAAAAGAGGACGCCTGGAACAAACTAGAGTTGCCAGGAAAATTCATGATCCTTCTAGAAACTCCAGCGCTCATACTCCCAGTGTCGCGTGACTTCCGCTGTCGTAACAATTGGTTACCTTGTTGTAAGGATAACAGGCTAATAATCCCATCCAGTGTTTTATATGGAGAAAGAAACAGCGATAAAACCAGTTCTCTTTGTTGTCTATCAAATGCTTGTGACATAAATCTATAGCCTCAATCAATGTTTTATGGATATGGTTCTTCAACATTGTATTATGTCATTGTGGCATGGGTAAGAAATTACTACACACTGTGATTTCCAAAAAGTAAGAGTAAAACATTTATAATTCCTATCACATATTTCATGGTGCAGTGAAATATCGTCCACCGTTCGCGTTATTGTTTTTCAAAAGCAAGTTATGCTTAACTTATCCCTGTAACAATCCAAGGATAGTGTGGATGCTAGTCAGTTGTGTGTAAATAACTCCTTATTTGATAGATGGTCTATGCGAAGTATACATGATAAACAAACAAAGCTCAAAACGGCAGCAGCTACCTAGTTTTAGTGTAACACTTGTAGAGAAAGTCTTGGAAGACTAATATACAAAAGTATCTTCCGGTAAAGGATGACGCTTCGAAAGACTTCCGTTTTTAGGTCAGCTTGCACCAGTTTTTGCATGGGTTTATATGGTATCATGGAGGACTGAAGTTGAAGTAACGCCATTGACTAGTGATTCTTATAACGTGGGTAGTTAAACGAGTGGTAATCGTGAAGTACTGATTTCCAGTTGTAAATCTCTATTTAGCAATGGTTTTATCGTGTTGATGTAGAAAGATTCTTTGATTTTTTCCCCCCAATTTTCTATAATTTATCTGAGTCGATGTGTCTGTACGTGTCCCAGTCTTTTCTATATCCAATAAATATAAGTCATTTTGTTTATCATCAATTTTTCTTTGCTTATGTTTGGCAAGGACAGATTTGACTGTTCTGTAAGCTTTCCAGCGGGCATAAATGTTGAACTTTTTTAACGACATATTTGATTTTCTCTCTAAGTTTTGCACATACAGGAAGTAAATAGTGTTGGACATATTTTTCTGTCATTTTGTGTTCTTCAAGTTATTAGTGACGAACCTAAAGGGGCTACCGATTCTGTTTAAAATATGTATTATGTGTCAGCGTTTGGTTTTGATGGAATTTCGTCACAGATGTTTTCAGCTCTATTGTTCAACAACTTAATACTGAGTTTAACAGAAAGTAGATATCAAGAATGGAAATGTAAGTATCTATCAATATTATTGATTTGCTATATATGGTTGAAGTGACTTTGTTAGTCTGTCTGCTGATGAGATTGTCGCAGAATGGCAGGGCAGGCTGTTGTTGTTCTCTGTTTCTCTGTTGTCAAGATGTTGTAAGAAGGTTAACAAGTTTCATGACTGTGGCCAGACATCAAATGTGTCGTCCATATACCATTTGTTAAAGCTGGGTTTTTGTCAGTGGAGGAGAGGACTCATTGTCCAAAACCTTCCTTGAAAATGATAAAACTGGAGAGAGTAGAGATCGCACAGCAAAGTTGTTTGTTTATATTTGTAAATATTTTTTTGTTTGTAGTTAAGCACAAAGCTACACAATGGGCTATCTGTGCTCTGCCCACAATGAGTATCGAAAACCAGTTTCTAGCATTGTAAGTCTGCAGACATGCCGTTATGCTACTGGAGGCTTGTTCAAAAAAATTGTTGTTGTATTGAAGTTATGCGGACCTTAGACAAACTGTGGCTAATTCTATAATAGCTTCTGTCTTTTTGTCAGTTCTTTGTGTAAAAAAACAAAAAACTATCATTCAACAACTGTTGTTTGGTGATGAAGAGGGTTCCTGCAGTTTGAACGTTAGTGGACAAATTTGTGACATCAGAACTGAAGAGAACATTTTGAGGTTTGATATATAGGGCTCTAAGCTGGTCAGTGAAATTTTTTGAGTTGTTGACACGTAGTAGTGATATGGTAGGCATAAAAAAAGCAGCCAAGTGATGGCAAGGTGAGTTTATGGCACTGACAATAAGTATGAGTCATAATACAATAAGTATTATGGGTTTGTGGAGGACAGTTGTATATGGTTTTTAGATTCTTGGTTGTATTTTCATTAAGTAAACCTCAGTTTTTGAGTTTAATGTCCTAATTACGAGTCTCTCTGTCTTTTCTTTGAGGTAAATGTTGAGCTTTTTGTATTGGTGGCCGTCTAGTAACCGTCTGATTTTAGAGTAGTAATCATCTGCATTTTTGAGATGATTGTGCTGTTTCTTTTATCTGCAGGTACAATTTTAATAGCGTTGTCCTATTTTAGACAATTCAAGGCTCCAAGCTCTTGGTTCGTTATGTTGGATTTTGTTTTCTTGACATGTGTTGAAGTTGTAATTTGGTGAAAATTTTCGTATTCAGCCATTGTTGTGCTTTTCGTCCAGGAATGAGATTTTTATTTTCAGCGGCAACCTTAGTGGGTAGTGTGGACCTCTTTCAGTTGGGTTTGGACATTAAATGGCTACTTATTTGGGGGTGATAACTCGAGGACACCATTTCAACCTCATTTTTTCCAGAGTTCTTCATTTTCAGGACAGCTGGCTATCATTATACCAAAGAATCTAACATGTCATATTCAAGAGTGACATGGTGTGTCACATTAATCTGGTCATGCAAGTAGATATACCCCATCTACTTTATCTGGATGGCTCCAATAAAGGCATTGACAGCTGTTGAGAATTTAAAAGCTAGTGGAGTTGATGAACTTATACAGTAAGTTCATTATGTTATACTCTAAAGCTGTATAATTATATAATCTTTGATTTTATGAACTCAGAGGTTCTCCATTTTTACAGATTACAATCTTAGTGCCCGAGAAGATTATGGATCCATTGATTAACATGGCTTGGATAGCAGAAGTTTTCCTCTAGGTTTAGGGATTTCTTGTCTGATTTACACAAGATTGAATTATTTCAGGTGTCAGTGTCTGAGCTTTATAGTTAGAACACACTCTCGTGGTCTTGAAAGGCTGTTTGAAAAATTGGTTAGTTCTCGTTCTTGAGTAAATAATTCATTACACTATGCCACACTATTAGTGACCTTTGCTCCTGGACAGAGTTCAATCGATTAATTTGTGTTATCATCTACTTTGGTCCATCTAAATAAAGAACACAAAAATACTTAAAATACACTAAAGCCAGATCAGGGGGTGAAAATGTTTTATTTTGTTTAAATAGCACCCAAACATAATCATTAAGTGTTGTAGGTGTCATAAGAGCCTTTGGTATGGCGACCCCCCCCCCAAAAAAAATATGGTAATTGTCCATTTATTGTTAATCTTTTTTGCTGTTGTTGTCTTCAAATACATTAGCATTCACAGCAAACACTCAGCGTTAGCAAAGCCAATTTCATGTCCGTAGGCATTTCATCATGGAGAAAATAATGCCGCATGACTAAAACCTAGAGTTTATTAAGCTAGCTTATACTGGTAGTTCTCAAACTTTTTCGTCCAGGACCACTTCGGCGGGCAAAAGACCCAATGGGCCACCTACTGGCCCTACACCACATGTTCTGTTCTCTCCTGTGGCCTCGACAGTGGCGTTACGCGTCAATAACTTGCATTTTGGACCAGACCACTGACCTAGACGTAGATTTAGTTCGAGATTTGAGTGTAAGCGGTTGCAAACATACAGCAAAATATTAAATCAACGCCGCATATGGACATGTTAGAATTTGTTTGAGATATAGGCTTAAACCTAGTGTTTATGTCGCATAATTTCACAGAACTATACGGTAATGGGAACTGCACTTTTGTTGTTGAAATAATACAAAACAAAACATAGCTTAGATTTCCAACTTTCAAGTCTCTACTAATTATCTGGGCTTTTGGATTGGTATTAGAACATTTGCATTCTTTTAAGGTCTAGGCCTAATGTAACATAACGTAAATAACAATAATAATTATTTATAAATATTTTTATATTTAATTATATATAAAGATACACGTATAATGTTTAGTTCGGTTGGAAAGTAACATGCATTAACTGCAGAAAGTAAACAGGATATAAATTCAGTTTCAATATATATATATAGGTCACCCACATGACTAGTAACTAGCGCTGACCAAGGTACGCTAGTTAACGCATCACTGCGCTGTAAATTGTATTAATTTTTTTTGTACATTACCAGTGCAGACTCCAATCTTCGTTAAACAATGATCTCTTGGGCAACTTAATGGAAATCAGTTAAATGACCTACAATGTAATAAACGCTATAAGCAGAAGAAACAATGAATTTTTAATGATTTCAGGCAGCGAAATAATAAATTCATTGTACGAAATCTTGATTTATATTCAAGAGTATACTCTTCTTTCACTAGCCGGAAACGAAAATGTTATCTGATCTACACGGGGTGTCCGAAAAGTCTGGAACCATCAGATACGTGACTGATTACGGCGCTGTCAAAGCATAAGAAGGTTAAGTAAATCCTGCTGTTGATCCAATTACAAGGGCAGCATGTGGAACACATTCTCTCTAGTTCCAGACTTTTAGGACACCCCCGCAGTATGGGACCACCGTGATATTTCTCGTGCCAATCAGGCACATCTTATTTGAATGACCAGGGAATATAACAGGAACTAGTATGCCAAGGACGAATATGGACAAGTCAAAGTCTTTCATCGTGTAAATAAAACAAAGTCTGCTGATCCAAACGTTGAGTTTTTATTTACAATTCAGTAAAGGGGAACCGAACGTGCTCAACCGATGTATACCCTGGTCTGCAAGCACAGACATTGCATTGTTTTTAAACTTTATAACATATTAATAGCTATTACAAGTTGGTTGAATTAGATGTTTAGATCTGGATTCAATAAACCAATCAGAATCACTTCAAATAGGTTTTTTCCCCCCCCTACTGCATCAAGTTCAGGAATAAAGAATTTAGAAGATGTGAAAAATAAGGTAATACTGAAATAAAACATTTGACTCATTAAAAAAATCGAAGGTATATCTTTCATTCTCCACAAAACACAACCATATATAACTGTTGTAAATTATTACTACTCTTGTGAGCCAACTAGAGATAAAAAATGTGCTGGAATTCAATAAATTATACAGAAGAAATACTTACTGTAAAAATTCCCGAATTGTAACATTGCTACTATTATGAAAATGATAGAGAACAGTTTTAGGAAGGTAAGTATGACTGTAATATTAAATTACACGTAAGTGATCTAATGTTGAACTTTATGGAAAACAGCATAATGTGATTTGTATGTTACAAACAAAATTACATATTAAATTCTGTAGTTTCTATATCACAGAATAAATATTTTTCTACAATCATGGCAATGGAAGACTAGGAAAACCATCACACTAGTTGCCTAAAACAGCCAACATCATTCAGAAAACTTGTGTGATTATATCGATGAGCTGTTGAACCACAATATTCAGCTGTTGCATATGTAATCATAGTTCACAGTAATCTTTTAATTATAGTTCACTAGCTCTTCAATATAATGATGCTGAATCTGTTGCATATGTAATCATAGTTCACAGTAATCTTATATGTAATCACAATTCACAGTAATCTTGCTGAATCTTATGGTTCAGTAGCTCTTCAATATAAGTGATGTAAGCAACATTACATCACTATATTGAGGAGCTAGTGAACCACAAGATTCAGCAAGATTACTGTGAACTATGATTACATATGCAACATTAAAACACTAGAGTTGTAACAATACAATTACATATGCACCATTTAAACATTCGACTTGTGACAACACGATTACATATGTAACACTAAGACAATAGTTGTAACAGATGTTTTCTTTAACAATGATTTGCTGTTAGAATTTAAGGTACTGAACTAAACAACAAATTTTCAGAAAAAAAAGTTACCTAATAAGACATGAGGTGACCACTCAATAACCAATTGTGAATGTCTTGAATTAACTCTCCTGGAACAAGTTTATATCTCAAGTCACAATGAAGAGTTGGTGAACTCAAGTGATCCAGAAATATATATATTGAACTATGATTACCTTTCAAGTATCACTAAAAACCTAGAAAATCATAATAACCAGAAAAATATTTATTCCACAATGAATAAAATATCAAATAATAAGAATACAGGAAAGATCAGTCAGGGCACTCATCCATCCTCCAAAATATCAAAATCAATTAAATATAATTGTTGTTTTTTCAGAAACTTAACCTACTATCACATCAAATTATCAGGCAAACAATTGCACAAGTTATAACTCTTTATTGAGAAAAATGAACTAGTCTCAATATAGGCTTACAAAGTAATATTTCAACCATTTCATTCCACCACTCAAGCATGCAAAATACAGATTAATCAAAACCCTAAATCATTTTAAATACTTCAAACAAAGTATTTCTATACTTTAAAAAAAAAAAGTACAAATCTTTAAGCCTGCTTTCATTGTTAAAACTTCTTAAACCAATTCTTCCACTGTGGTGATATTAGTCCCGTAATACAGGATTACAACTGCAAACAGTATTATAAATACTATCTTAGAAGTCTCATAAAAGGTTACAACATCCACTTTTAAATTCAAAATTTCTCTCTAAAAAACAAATTTCAAGAACTGAAGACTTCAAGCCAGTGGGCTATCTATAACTCAGAGTCCGCACGATGGTTCCAGTGTTCTATTACGTCACACATAACACTTTTGTGTTTTGACTCTCTCTAACCTGTCTCCAAGGTCTTGTACACCTTCTGCTCATCCATCACAGTTTTGGGCTCACCCAAACTTTCATACTTGGCTATGCCATTGCTTCAACATTCACACCTAAAACCTTCACTTTTGTCGAAGCAACATAAAATTTTTTAAATCTTGAATTGTGACAAAACATATCAGAGAACCAGTGAAGATATACTGGTTGTTTTCTAGTTTATATTGTGAAGTTGTAAGTTGGAACTGAGGCTCAAATTCTCCGAGAACATAGAATGCATTTACAACTTCTTTTTTTAATCATTAACCATTAAGATCTTTACTGTATAAGAAAATTACATGTACTTTGCAGTAACTAATTTGGTACAAATTCTTTGTCATTCCCTCTAAACATTAGTTTTTCTCTGTTGATAAAAATTAATACTACTTGTTCAATTAACAGATATCTTTATATTAGCCTTCAGACAAAATTACTGAGCAGGGATACATTACATGTATTCAATTAATAATAAATTCCTGAATATCCAGTTCTCCTATCTGAACCAAACTTGTCTTATAAAACTATGTAGGAATTCTGTGTGTTTGTATATATATATATATATATATTTCACTTTTACATGTAAATTATTTCAAAATCATAACTGAATCAATTCTAGTTAAGATCAAGCCTGCTCTTATGTTTTCAATGTTTCTACTGATTAACTTTAAGTGTTCTCTGGCAATTTTATTGTTCCATAACGAACAATAACAACAAAAACTATATAATTATCCTGTCTGAACAGTTGAGTTGTATTATCCTTCAATTCTTTAAGTGAAACCAGAACGTGTGCAATTACGTTTTAAACAAAAGCGGTCCACATCACAATCTTTCATGCCAAAAGTCAATAGTGTTATAAAAAGTTATCACAGATTTAATACAATCTGCTCACAATAACATTAATATTCCTTTAACAGATAATTTAAACCTCTTGCCCTCTTAGTGAAAAGTGTAAATCCCTCTTAAAAGTCTTCTGTGGTTCTCATTCTTAACAACACCTATAGATTTGACATATTACACATCTGAACTCATTTCCAATATCCCAGACACTCTAAAAAAACAACCATATTGTCTAGTAACTTGTAATCTTAAAACTGAAAAATCTTAGAATATTGCAATTATTTTTATTGATACAGTGATGATTTCAAGTTCTAACAAACAACTGTTTTACATTACCCTCTCTGCTCGGTAGTGTCAAATGTTTATTTTTGGGTGCATTCACTTAAAATACATTTCAACTAACAAATGCTTAACTGATATTATAAGACAATCCACTAATATATCTCATTTGTTACATTTTTCAGCAATTCTAAGACCTTATGAGTGAAAGCAAAGAATAATACATTATAATGTGTCATCTACAGTATATCTGCCATATCCTTTGCAGACGAGGCCTTTCGTCCAATACAAATGAAACCACAGTTGACTATTCTCTGACTAAACTATGGCCTTAATTTAAAAAATGCACAACTCTGTTAATAGGCTGACTCTCAACTTTCATTCTCTGAAACAGAAAAACAACAAAATATATACATATTTCTTTTGCACAAATATACATACATAAAGTGCTTAAAAACAACAAATTATGAAAACTATCTTTCAGCCTGTCCAGGTTTTTGTTTACGATCATATTACAGGTATTAACATTCTGAGTCATCTTAACCATCAATGTGAACTTAAATGGAACCACGTGAAATACTTACTTATGATTCCCACAGCAAATTTTCAAAATAAACACCACTTTAAGTCATTGAAAAACAGTTTTAGAAACAGAAAGACCAATTGATCCAATACATTGTGAAATGCCTTCTACAGAAGTACATCCAACTCCAAAATATCTGCTATATTTGTTTTTATAATACTTCAAAGGAGCATAATTTACTTTTTTTTTCACGTTGATTGTTCTTTTTCATTCACTTAAGTGAAAAGTGATAAACTGTCTTAACCCTCCCACGGTTCTCAACACTAACAATGGATTTAACATACAAAAATTTTGTGCTGGTTTTACAATTTTATTTTCTTTGTAATTGAATGAAAATCTTGATTTGTTTATAAGTTCATATAATCAAATATTTATCCTTACGTTACAAAATAAAAATTATGCAGCCAATTTCTGCAAGATCAAAAAATGAAAAACAGTCATTATTAAAGGTTTAAAATCTTAATGTAAACATGATTAGGAATGAAGGTATTAGCAAGCCTTAAGTATCAGAAATATTGTTCATTCTTAACAACAAATATTCTAGCAAGAAAAAATATGACAATATTTTAAGTAGAAATGAATTAAAGTGCCTCTCATTCATGTTCATACCTGAGAATATTTCTTTAAGCAATAACGTTTCCTTTACTTAAATTTTCCAAATAAGAAATATTTATAGTAGCTCTTTCCAACTTTTTTTTTGGAAATTAATAAAATGTATCATTCTAAAAGTACTAGGAATTTCATGTTATCATACGTTCAAACACATTACAAGTGAAACACAGTTGACCTAAATCCTGTGAATATAAATGCAGTATATCCAATTTCCTAACATTTTATACTTTAATGTTATAAAATACACCGATTAAATCTGGCAAAAAATGGACACAAAACTAGCATTCAAATGCTAGGATTTTAACACTTTTATGATTTTGTTCAAAAAATATTGGTTCTTTTCTGAACATTTCTATACTAGGTCTAAATATTCAATGATACAAACTGAATATCACACAACTACTTAGCAAATGAAAATAATGGGTTAAAAACACAAATATTACATGATAATATAATCTCCACTTCACCATTTTGAAGAAAAGTATTTTCAAAGATTGAGTTATAAACATTGTTACTTATTATTAATGAACTTAAGGTTCAATTAAATTTTCATATTTTTACATAAAAATAGCAAGAATTAGTTAACTTTATTAAGAGTTTGATGCATCTCAATTTGTTTCCGTGGATAATGAATACACATTTTACTTAAAAAAAGAAACGAGACTCATACGAGAATCAAATTATACATATTTCATTTAATTGCTTCCTTCTTTTCATTTCATAGTCCACAAATGTATTTTTAAATACATGTATCAAAAAGCAGTATTACAGATAGAAGACAATATGCCTGTCTCAAAAGAAGAGTTTGAAAAAAGATCAGCATGCAGTAAATACAACCAAATAGGCCTAAGATTTGCTATAAAAGTCATGTTAACTGCATATGTTTTTACCCATATTCCTCTTTATTTATTCATTGCACATCTACAATGGACAAATTTAAAAGAATGTGGAAAAACATATGCAGTTAGCATGATTTTATCACAAATCTTAGGCCTATTTGGTTTCTAATGCTTTGCCAGCTTTTGGCATTTAAAACATAATTTTTGAATACAACCATTCATACCAAAGCTGTACAAGCTGTTAACTGCTTTTGTCATGAAGCATTCAAAGTGTATAATAATGATACCTGTTTAAGACTAGACAAAAGTAGTGTTTATTAACAGTAATAATACGTTTACACACAAATTGCAATAGATTATATTCAGATCTAGTTGTTGTTTTTTCAATTTTCAAAAGTTAAGTATTATACAATTACAGTTAGTCTTTCTTGGAGTTTTTAAAAACTACCTGGATATCTGCACATTTGATAATAACTGCTATCTTAGTATCACTTGACAGGAAAATACAAGAAACATTTCCTGCATTTTTACTACATCTAAACATACATTAGATTTTCTTGTCATAAACATTCATAATGCAAGACAATTTTTACACTTTTACCATCTCATTTCTCTTCTAGAGTTATAGTTTCTTGAGGATAAAGCTTGAGTTCATATAAAGTCTTTTCGGGATCAAGTGTTGTAAGATCTCGTCGAGGCCAACTTGCTAAAACTTTATAGTCTTCTACAGGATAGCCAACAGATGCTAGGTAATTAACCAAAACATGCAAACATTCACTGCATCGAAATCGTCGATAAAGTAATTCACCAGTTGGAAGGCGAAACCTAATCTTACTGATATCTGAACAGTTTTCATCTGGTTCAGTAGGAAGTTGCTCGGCAAGTGACTGGCGAATTGCTTCCTTCACAGATTCCTCTTGTCTTCGTATTTCATCTTGTTTCTCACGTTCTCGTTCTTCTTGAAGTAATTTTTGCTGTCGCTCCGCCTCCTCTAACTTTCGAGCTTCTTCTTTTGCTCTATCTGCCATCAGAGAAGCATGGTAGGCTGCATCTTGTTCTCTCTTTACTGTCTCTCTTGCCTCTCGCTCCTGTTCTTCTTGAATCTCACCACCAACTTGACTACAGAACATTTCATAGGCATGAATGAGATTGGTCATAAACTCATCAAGACCAACAGTACCTGGAATAACAGTTAGTACTTCAGTTGATGATCTCAGACGAGTGATTACCACAAGAGCTGGTAAATGATCAGTGGTTATGTCTCGGATGGCACCAGCTGCTGCAGCACCTAACTCTTGAGTAACTGCTGCCAAAAATTGAGATCTGTTAGAATTAAATGTAAGGTCCCAAGCCCAAATGACAAAGTTCTGTGTAAGATATGAAACTGTTGCTTCTGTGCAAAGTAACTGAGTACAAAACACATTTGATAAAACACTTTCGTCATGATGAAGATAAACTGCCAGTGGGCGTCGATCCCGTGCCGAAGTCAAACACGAGGCTTGTAATGCTTCAGCTAAAGTTCCTTGAAAAAAATGAGGAAGACAGTCGCCATATCTCTGTTGAAATTGATGAATAAAATTGTTGATTGCTTCTCGTTCATCTTCAACACCTTCAGAAATGAGAGGCTTGGGTTTGTTGGTAGGACAAACATCCTTGAAAATGTCATCATCAACAGTGAAACATTCATTAGCATCTTCAAATTCATCACCACTACTTTCACTAGAAGATAAATGTTTTATATTTTTTGTATTTTCTTTCTGACATTTAACAACTTTTTGAAGATATAGTGTGTGAACAGGATGATTGATGTCAGCTGCCACCAGAGTTGTGCTATCTTTGACACCATCAGGCCATCCAGACCACTTCTGATGTCTCACTGGGATGTTAGTTAAGGCAAACACATCTTGTTTAATTTCAAGTATGGTTTTTGATCCTACAAAACTTAAGGTGTAATCCTTATTGTTAGTTTGATCCACAATGTAGAGCTTGAAGGTTTCATTGAATGTATCCGAAAAATTTGGGTCCGAGCTAGAATTTGACAAAAGAGCCCCTTGATCATCTAAAGTAAAGAGCCTAAGAACAAAATCATTTGGAAGATCTAATGAAGACAAGACTGTGTTATCCGTAACATGATTTCTTGGCCAACCAATTAATTGCTGCTTACATGGAACAATTCCAAGTTCTGTAAATAAAGCCATTTTAACTGTAGCAACAGTTTCACAAGCTGGAACTTCTACAGGAGTGTTTTTCTCTTTATACTTCACAATCAGCTTTAAAATTTGAGCTGATTCCCCTCCTGGATTAGGCTCTGGAGGAATCTCAAGATTCTGTTCTTGAACCCTAATAGAAAATAAATTTCTATCTGACAGGTCAATCATTTCCACATCTCCAGAAGAGCCAGTACTTCCTCGCTGTTTCTCTGTATTCTGGGTTAAAAGTACGTTATTATCTCGTACATTACTGTAAGGCCTGTTGGATTCTTGTTCTGATGGAAGGGCTTGGGATTCTTGGGGCATTACATTATTCACTGCATCTAATAGCTCCCAGTTACTAGCCTCAAGATGCATGATGCTCTCTGCTACATCATCAATTCCTGTACATGACTGAAAATCCATCAATATTTGTTCTCTGTTCTCCTCCATCCTATAAATTTCAATAATACAATAGAAAGAATAGTCCTACAACTATAAGAGTATAACTTCGTATTTCAACTGGTTTAATCAATGTTATACTTAACAACTGGATTACTACTAGTAATAGTAGTATTACTATACTAATTAGTAGGCTTAGCCGACAACACTAGATATTGGGATAGTGTTAATAAATTAGGCCTTTTATTTAAGCCTGAGGCTATTCACACATATACTAGTATAATCTATACTATACTATTAGCAATTATAATACTTTTAAAGTATTATTATTATTATTCAGGCCTGGCGTTCTGTACTACAGCCTACCCGTAGTATACGTTTTCCAATTCTTTTAATAAAGACCCGAGAAGGAATTTAAATAAATATTCCTGCTAAAATAACCAACACAACTGAGTTGCAATAAAAATCCACAAATTACACAATATTTTGAAGAGTCACTTTTTTTCACACCTGACCTTAAACCTACACCTATACATTAACAAAGACGTCGACAATGTTGATGCACTACTGTTTCGGTAGATGTCGCTAAAGCCAATACAATTCTTTAATTTTAAAGTGCCCTAACCTGTCTGTCAATTTTTAATAATATAATGTGGTTTAAAATATTTTTATATAATACATTTTCAGTTAGATATAGCTGAGGATTTAATTCGTGAACATGAGTAAGATACTATGATACTTAAATTTAGATAATGAAAATTATGTATACACTACTAAAGCAAATATTATAGTGCTAATTTATGATAAGTGTTTTTATAAAGATTAAATAGTGTAGTTGAAAAATTAAGTAATTATCATAAATAGGTACTAATACAAATAAAACATCATGTAGTTTGCTTTTATTAGAATTTAATAATGATATCTAACTATCATGAGATCTCTAGGACAAGTTTTATCGAAGATGTTAGACTCCTGCTCTATGGAGATACGAGAAGATACGGTAAGAATCAAAGCATCACATCACTATGGGGTCGTGTTTATGCATTATGTTTTGTTTGGAACATATTTTATTACAAAATTCACGTGATCATCAATATGGCATTAATGTAATTCATTCTTCTACTTGTATTCTTGATAAATTTTTAGCTGGATTTTTCGATTTTATGCTTTATTTGAAGATGCAACTTTTCTCTCATTTTACTATTTTGTTTGGGTCAGGTGTAGCTTAGTATATAGTATGCCGGACTGTGAATCCAAGAGTACACGGTGCGCATGTCGTTACTGTAAAATTGCGTTCTGCACTACGAGGTCGTAGGATGAGTTATAAGAGTGGTGGTCAAATTTCAATATTCGACTAGAGTAACCCAAGAGTCGGAAGTTGGTGATGTTGACTATATGCCTTCCCTTTAGTCTGACAGCTCAAAATTAGGGATGGCTAGCGCAAATAGCATTTCCGTAGCTTTGCATGAATATCTGAAACAAAAAACTGTTTTGCTTACTTTCGCTTTAACAATGGCTGTTTGAAAACTATAGTAACATCTATCAAGGAAGGCAGGCAATGAAATTAACTAATAGATAGTTGTGGAAATGCCTTAAAATGTGATTTTGTAAACACACAATTATTGTTCTAACACATTAAAGATGTTCTATAGTTACTTGTTAATGTTAACCCACTCAACCCATACTAGCGATGTTGCCATCTGTTTTTCTTGCAAAGACTTAAAAATATATATTACAATAATGATAATCTATCCATAATATATTTTAATACCAAACATCTGATAACTAAACACAAAATGTGAGAGCTTAGAACTATTTCAAGCAATTTATTAAGTAACTATTTTGACATATAAATTAAAAGAACACTCAATTAATAAATGATATTCATACAAAAAAGTAAATTTGTCTTAAAAGGTTTATTTGTTTTAGCGCAAAGCTACACAATGAATTATCTGCGCTCTGTCAACTTCGGGGGATCAAACCCTGAATTTTAGAGTAGTAATTTCTTTAAAAAAATACTAGAATGAAGTAATTAAGTATAAAGTATCATTGGTTATAGATAGAGCTATAAAGCCGGCAAGGAGAGATTAAATACACGGTGATAATGATGACAAAACATGAATGCCAAAGTGATTCTCTTTGTTTCCATGAGTATTCTTAACGCTGAATTATTAAATTATACAATGTATTTAATAATCTTATGAATTATTCATAAGAATAATTTGCCGTATAAATGAGCTCCCCCAGTGGCACAGTGATATGTCTGACAGATAATATTCCCCCAAGGGTTTTGAAGGAGGTTAAGGCCTGGATATATGAGCCACTTGCTGCTATTTTTTGTAAGTTCTTGAATAGTGGGCAAGTGCCAAAGGATTGGAAGTTAGCTAATGCCACTCCTCTTTTCAAGGGGGGTGATAAAATTTGTCTCAGTAATAATAGGCCCGTTAGTCTTACATCAACTGTGGGAAAAGCTTTGGAAAGTCTGATAAAAGATGCTTTGCAATGTCATTTAACATTTAACAAAGTTCATAATTTTATTGGATAGTCACCATGGTTTCACCAAGGAAAAATCTGGCCTAAAAAATAGTTTGACATTCTTTAAAAACGTTTCTGCTTCTGTAGATGAGGGTAAAGGTGTAGATTTAGTGTATCTGGATTTTCTGCTGGGCGATAAGTTAGCAAGTTGGATAAAGAAAGCTGAGGTTTGTTACAAATGGAGTTCAGTCATACTAGATTAATGTTACAATTGGGGTACCTCAGGGCTCAGTCTTATTACCTTTACTGTTTTTGATTTACATCAATAACATAGACGAAGGAATTGTCAGAAATTGCTTAAATTTGCAGATTATATTAATGTATTGGGCGTTACTAGTTGTGAAGAGGATGCTGCTGATTTACAAAACGATTTAGATCATTTAGTGAGTTGGGCAAATAAATGGAAAATGGGGTTTAAGTATAATAGAATACAAGATAATGCATGTGGGTTATCATAATTTGAATTATAAGTATAATTTGGTTGGGAATAACCTCAACATTGTCAAGAAAGAAAGAAATCTTGATGTAATAGTTTATCAGTCTTTTAAGTCATCCAAGCAGTGCCAGCGGTAGGGCAAATAGGATTTCAGGTTGTATCTACAGAAATATTAAATACAAGTCTAAAGAGGCTATAATTTCATTGTATAGGTTAATGGTTAGGTCATATTTAAAGTATTGTGTTCAGTCTTGGGCTCCTTACCTTAGGAAAGACATTGAAATGTTGGAAAAGGTTCAGGGGAGAGTTACTAGAATGGTGCCTGGGATGGAGGGTTTTCATACGAGGTGAGGTTGAAATCTTTCAAATGAGTTAGAGGGGATCTGATTGAGGTTTTTAAGATTGTAAAGGGAATTGATATTGTTGATGCACCATCTTTTTCATACTTAACAGTGAGAATAGTAGGACTAGGCGACACAAATATAAATTTTGGCAGGAGAGGAGTGACCTTCAGTTAAGACAGTTTTATTTTTCTAACAGGGTGGTTAATTGGCCTTTGGAATGGGTTGTCTTCATACGTTGTGAAGGCAGTAAAGTTAAGTGACTTTAAGAAAAAGCTTAGTAAGTATATAAATGATAAGGGCTGGCTTTAAGGTTTTTTAAAAATATATTTATTAATAGTTTTAGTTTGATTGAGTTTAGAGGATGGGACAGCTGAGATGGACCAATAGGTCCCATGTTGTCCCAAAACATTAGATTATGTTATAAATCGGGTTTCGATACCAGTGGTGGGCAGAGCAAGATAACCCACTGTGTAGCTTTGTGCTTAACTACAAACAAATAATCCTTATAAATGAGTTCTTTGGAATAATTCATAACAAATTTGCAGACGTAAAAACTCCTAAGTTTACTACAACTGGGTTTACTCCAAGTTTAATTGAGCTCCGTAACCAACAGCACTTCAAAAGAACTTCATATTTACAGTAAAACGCCAAAAGAACAGGTCTATAAATAAAAGAATTATTCTTTGTAAAGAATGTAGCTTTGCAAAACTTTCTTTCTTGGTTTTGGTCGCCAGCCTAATAAATAGTACAATTCCTATAGGCCTGATTGACTTCTTGTTAGCGAATTATATATTACTTAAAATGTTCCCAATCTGAAATCTTCTCATATTTGTACCTCTCTTCAAATGTTTCTTTTCACATTCAATAAAGTAAATTTGGCACTGGTGATGCGATCTGTCCACTATGAACATGGGATGATCGAAATGTTGTCTTGAGAACATAAGCGTGAGACCATAAAAATGAAGTGAACAGCTAATAAAGACGTTGAAGAAATCTTCTGGTCATCAGAATAGCCCGAATGTAATTGTCAACCATTCTTATCCCTCACACTGAAACGAAGACAGAAACTCATTGAAATAAGAAATGTCTGGAGTCATATATCAATGTATTACTTACAATTTGCTTAAGTGCTGAATACACTCAAGACCTTAACTAAGCCTAAAAAATAGGGTAAAAGTTTGTTTGAGATTGGTTAGACTTAGCTTAAAACTGGAATTAGGGTCAGGGGTGTACGGAATATTCAGCGGCCTCCCCTTTAATATATCAAATAGAAAAGTGTGTTTAATACTTGCTGGGTGTATTTCTCGAAAATGCATGTGTAAATTATGTTTTTAAATTTTTAACACCACCAGAAAATCCTCGTTTTTAGCGTGTCTGAAAATATATTTATTAATATGATTACTATACGTTAACTCAGGAAGGAAGTAATCACAACAATTATGATAACAAGACCGCTCTATTCTTCAAGCCCCCACCCCCCACACTCCCGGGGTAGTCCAGCGGTTAGTCTAAACAATCGGATAAATCTGATTTCAGTACTCGCGGTGGGTACAGTACAGATAACCCATATTATAGCTATCCTACAAACATTACATAAGTCTAAAGTTATCATCTTTCATTTAATTTAGGGTATACCACTGCTAAACCGAACCTGATTTAGGTGAAATCACAAATTGGGGCCATTTCGAATATTGGATTAATGGCAGCTATTCTAAAATTTAAAAACTGTTACGTTCAACTAATTTTACAAATAGACTTGTTGTTGGTTAGTTTTAGAGCAAAGCCACAGTGGGTTATTCTGTTGGGTCCGATACGGGAAATCGAATCCTGGATTTTATCGTTGTAAGTCCCTAAATATACCTCTGTCCCACCGAAGGACATACAAAGAGACATCCTAATATTTAACTTAGCCAGTTTTACAAAATCTTTTGAAATTTGAGCCTATAATGCTGTATTTGGTTTCCATTTTGGATTCGTGCCATTCAATTACAGATGCCAGATTACATTATTAAAATACTTTTAAAAGACTGAAAATAGGCACTGTGTGTGCACTTTTAATCCATTTACGTAAAATGTCAATTAATTGCCGGTCACTTTGGATTTTGGACCTTATATATTGGCCATTATGAATTTTAAAATCTGTTCCATTTATTATTAAATTAATGTGGACACCAGAATGATTACCTCAACCTTTTAATTATATTTTTGATTCAGTTTTTATCTGAAGTTTTCATAACACATGAAAGTAAACACCATAAACGATATTTACTCTATTAGTAAAATGTATTTATTTATGTATTAAAAAATATTTTGATACAATCGTGTTTGCCACTTAGGACAAACGACTCGCAATTTTTGAGTCGAAGGTTCGAATCCCGTCTACGAACATGCTCGCATTTTCAACTGTGAGTGAGGGACGTTATAATGCGACAGTTGATTTCACTATTCGTTGGTAAAGAGTGGCCAAAGAATTGGCGGAGAGTGGTGTTGACTAGTTGCCTGCCCTCTAACAGTGGTGTAGGAAGGAGTTACAAAGTGGTGGAGCTTGGCTAGACACGCAGATTATACAATGAGAGATTGAAAGTATAACGAACTGCTAAAAGCATCACTCCTGCTGCCAAAGGCAGCTAAATCTAGGAGGGTCTGGAGGTATGATCCCCATTAAATAATTAAAATAATATAATTTACAATTGCTATATAAGTCAAATATGTAGAAGCGGGGGTGCTGTAGCTCCCCCGGTTCCGACGCCTCTGTATAATCTATCCCTTCAAAATTAGGGAGATAGCGCAGATCGCCCTCTAGTAGCTTTGCGCGACTTCAAACACAAACAAACAAACGTGTTCGCCAAGCAGGAAGAATCACCCTGAGATAAGCACGTACAAACACCATTTTCCGCTCGGATGCGGTTATCAGAAAAACGAAGACGTCCAAGACGCAGACACTTATAATATTGGTTTTTTTAGGTTTGGTTAATTCAAATGAGTGAAATATAGAAAAAAAAAGGTAAATATTGTTCTACTAGTTTACCTGCAATTGTAACCTTGTTAAATCTGTTAGCCTTCGAGAGTTCTAGTATGAAACAATAGTCACATGTGGTGCTTAATCCTATAACTTATAATTAGCTTCAACTAATGTGTCATTGATACCGATAACTGGTGCGTTTATGTTTTTCTGTGAATAATATTAACCTTTAACAGTACAGTGACGAACATATATGTTAACAAAGATTCTTTAATTTTGCCTTTCGGCAACGTAACCAGCAATAAATGGCAGTGCTAGTGCTACCAACACTCACGCATTAAGTCCGTTTTCACGCTCACACGCATTTGTAAAAATATTTCATATTTTAACCAAATTAGTAGTTTTGACCATTTCTATAACTCGTTGTTGGTCGAGTGCTAGACGCAGGTAAAATTCCCATCATACTGCTCTACTGTGCTTCTATAAAAAAAATTATGGGAGGAGCATTGTTCTCAGACGCCCCCTACAAAGCGATCGCTTTCGGAGCTCACAGTGCTTTATCGCGCGCTAAAACTTTTATTTTTCAAAAGTATCAATCCAACAGATTCATAAATGTTGGCAATCATGACGTAGATTTATATACTAGTACTACTATCAATACAGGCTAAATATGTCTTGTCATATTAGAATTTTGTTTTGTACCTTCCAAATAGATAGAACTTAACGTGAAACATATTTAAGAATAAAAATCACTTTTTATTGCAGTATATAAAAAATGTCAAATTTGTAGTTTGTTCGTGAGACTAGCACAATAAAAACATTATTTTCGTATTCACACTACAAAGTTCGTATTCTGTTTACCATATAGATAATGTTTCAAAACTAGCTCTGGCTATTTAGTCAATTTATAGCCGGCGACGGTTATCAAGCCTACAAGCTAAAGATTTATCGCTGGCAGTGTTAATTCTCTCGCCCTCGTGTTACTCACTTGAGGTCTTCACTAAAGTTAAATAATAAAAAATTTGCTCACCGCTAATGGTATTTATGAGAAGACAAGTTTTTAATTTTTTTTATTTAGTTTTATGACGTCATGAGGGTATGTTACACACCTGACTGTTTTCTTTTACGGACAGTTATTCGAAGTCTTTTAGTTTCAGTAAAAATTGCACTTAACTTAAGGCAGGTACTACTCTGTACTCAGGTGAATGAACTCGGGGGGAAGGTTAGGGGAAGAGCACACAGAACAAGTTTTAGAGATGGGCTGGTAATCTTGGAATGAAAAATATTTTGTTTGACTCATAAACTGTTGACGTGGCTTTTAGTTTTGACTTACCGGTGTGCATCAACTTCAACTCAAGTGACAGCGCCCTGTATTCTGTTGTTTTGGTTTGTTCTTTGAGAAGGTATATTGAATTATAATCTATGAACTCTCAGCAAACAGACAAATTGTATTGAATAGTAATAATCCTGTAAAATCTCATATATGATACTATTGCTTATAGTTATACTTCATTCTTGACTTTTTATTTGTGTTTGGCTAAAACGATATATTTTTTTCATTATTATGACTGTAGTTGAAGAACATATTTCTGATTGGGTTAACAATTCTCATTTGAAACAAACAACAGAAAGAGTGAGAAAAAATGGCTTTAAGAGAAAAAAGTAAAGCAACAGATACAAGCAAGTCACTAAATTTCTTGGTAAAGTCATTTCTCGCAGGTGGTAAGTTGACTACAATATTTCTTTCAACCTTATATGATGCAATAAATAATAACTGAAAATTTGTATTAAATCTGTACATATAGGTAAGACTTTCTGTTAGGTATTTTATTTGTAATTACATAGCATGGTCATGATCTCTACTGTTAAATTCAAAATAAAAAATTCACATGATAAATTTAAGAAAACTCAGAAATATGAATTAATAAAACTGGCTTCCAACAGAAAGGGATGAACTGATGTATCAGTAAACAAAATATTTGAAGTAATACTTGTAATTAGAAGATATTCTATGACTTGCATTTAATAAAACCAGCAGATTTTTGCTACAACAGTACAAGTCATAATTCTTGATTTGTAGTCAAGAGTTTAAAATAACATATTCAATAACCTTTGTTAACCTTGGTAGTTGGAACAAATTAAAGTCTGAACTTTAATCTTTAAGAAAGAAGTATTTGTATGTACATGACAAATAAAAGTTAAAATGTCATAATCTGCAAATTAAGAACATAATGTGAGAACAGCTATTTACCCTTTAATGTTTCTACATTTTTACATATGCGATGCAAGTTAAATAGTTAATGTTTTGTCTTAACATGAGTAATAATAATAAAAGGAAAGTAAGAAATTAGTGATTATCCTATTATTGTATTTTGATGCTTTAAGTTTTGTTTTAACAATTAAGGAGTAGCAGGAATGTGCTCAAAGACAGCAGTTGCTCCATTAGACAGGATTAAGATTCTTTTACAAGCTCACAACAATTATTATAAGCATCTAGGTAAGCAATATTTTTTTAATTATTGGTCTAATTTGTAAAACTATTCATAAAACATAACGTAATTTCTTAATGAAAAGCTAAGGATAGTTTACAAAAGCTTTATAATTTGGTGCTTGCTTTAGTTCTGTTTGTAAGTTCTTTACCTTAACAAGATAGTTATGATGAAAAATATAGAAATCTGTAAAATAAGATTAATGATGTAATCAGTAGAAACAAGTTTGTTATTATGGAGAATTCAATCATATATGTGTATGACTGTGTCATGATCTTAGCACCTGTGTATAATGTAGTTTTAGTTTTATCATTTAAACACTGAGTTAAATTGAAGTTTTTCCCATCATATTTTGCAAGGTGTCCGATATTTTTAAGAAATAAAATTGCTGTTTCTTAAATTTACTAATACTAGTTCAGCTAAATAATGATAATGTAACAGGCCTGTAAAAACTAAGATTTTTATCTTGCCATTTTTGTAAGCTTACCTCCATTTTATGGTACAGTAATACATTTTTAGTCTATTTAACTAAAATAGATTGTTAATTAATATAATTAATGCACAAAACTAATAACAGAATAATATTGAAAATTGGAAACACTTGTGATTTTTCTAGTATCAAAATATACCTGTAGTAATCTAAGTAGTTTTGTTGCATGTTCAGTACATTAGTCCCTCTCATCTTGTACTACCTTTCTGTTAGTATTACATATAGTAGGCCTACTGCTATTAGTAGGCATAAAGCATTTAAATTTTAATGTAACTTTTTTCTCCTTATTTGGGGATTTCTAATAGTAATGTTACATTTAAACAAGGATTTGTGTACGATTGTTAACAAAATTCTAATGCTCTAAAAGGAGTGTTTAGCTGTGGTGAAAAGAACAAATACAATTCTAGGTCCTAGTTTCTTAAAGAACAAGAAGGTTTTTGCTGTTTTGTGTTCTGGTGAGATAGTAGCTAGAGTTCTTTGTGTGGATTTGGTTCTCATACTAAGAGAGAGAATATTGAAAGAGAGTACAGAGACAGGATATTATAATGATAATTAGTTAAGTAATACGAGCCATGAAAAGAGGCTTAGACTTGTTTTCTTTTGAGTGTAGAATAATGAAAAGGTATTGATACTGGATGTTCAAAATTATTTAGGTTTGTACATTCTTCTTATGAGATATCTGTGTGATGGAGTAAACAGTTGAAAACACAAACTTGAATATGACTGATGATAAGTTTAACTTTGGAATCCTAGTTGCAAACACGTTTTTCAAGATAATTTATTTTTCATAAAGTTATGAACTTGTAGATTATTTAGCCTGGTGATGCAATTTTTAAAATTTGAACTCTTTTAATATTTTTTTGGATAAAAAAGAGGAAAACATATTTTCAAATTAATATATTTTTTGCTAAGGCTATAAGCTTGTGGATTGGTTTGTCTGTTGATGCAATTTTTGCTGTTAGTTTGATTTGTTTGTTTTGAATTTTGTGCAAAGTTACACAAGGGCTATCTGCACTAGCCATCCCTATTTATCAGTGAAAGACTAGAAGGAAGGCAGCTAGTCATCACCACCCACTGCCACAATTAGTTTGAATTATTTTCAATATTTTGTTAAAAAAAGAAGACAAACAAATTATTCTGTGGTTTGGGGTTGACATTAGTGGGTCAAATAGCCTTCTGTCCCTGCATTTTCTTTCATATTTGAAGCTTAGGAAAGTAATAAATTGTATTTGAGCTAGGAGGGAATGTTGTAAGCTATATTTTTGATGTTGTAATTTAAATGTTAATTATAGAGCCCATGATGTTAAGATAAAGCAAGTCCTAGAAAATCTAGAATATTCAGGAATTTTAGTGACTAAAAGACTTTGCAAAGTGTCTAGAAATTAGGCTCCAGATATAAATACAAGTAGGCAGTTAATTCAAGTGTAATGAATAGTCGATCAAGTAACTGAATATTTGCGATAACTAACACTGATGCAAATATTTCAATTACATGATTGACTAGTCATGAAATTGTATGAGTAAGGGTATTTTTTATGTTACTTATGGTATTTTTGTATGAGAGTCATTTGTAAAGTTATTTAAGCTTACTAGATATAATAAATGTACAATCTTGTAGAAATATTAAGGAAGAAATAAACTAATTTGTTTTCTCATTAAGTGGACTAGATTTAGCCATATTTTTATCTAATAATTTAAAAGAACCCACTTAACAAAAGAATGATGCTAAAACAGTGGTGTCAGAAGTGAGATTATTTTGATGAAAACAAAATATAACTTGATTCAATTTCAACAAATTGACATGGCAACTAGATCCAAAAATGAGATCAAAGCACTACTAGAGATGATGAAAGTATTAAGAGTACCAAGAAGAATGAGGCAGAAAATCAAAAGAAGGCTAAGGAGAAATTTACAGAAAACTGAAAGATGATCACTAGGTAAGAGACAGAAATTTAAGAGAGGAGTTAAAAGAAAGAGATGTAATATTTAAAGACGAATTAAAATAAGAAATATATCTGATTGAAGACCAGATTGTTGAAGCTGTAGGGGTTGTACAGAGGGGTTACAACAACAAGTTTTAAGAAATGCAGAAGGACATCAAAGAAGTACAAAAAGACAACAAGAAGTACAGAAAGACATCAGTGAAGTATAAAAGAACATCAGTGACAGAATAAAGTTTAAATCCACTACAACTTCTTCTGATCTGGCTCAAGAATTCCAACCTGAAACACCATCTACTACAAAATATGGAATAAGAGAGCTTATTGGTCTACCCTTATTACCACTACTGCTGTGTCGTCTATTACTGAAGTACCTTCCATAATTACACCAGCCATGACATTACCATGTCAATTCCAGATTTTTGCATGCCATTTTAACATCATCCAGTCGAGAGACCAACAGATTATGAAGGGAAGGTCCCATGGGAGTTATACCAGACTCAGATTGAAATCATTTCTAAACTGAACAAATAGAATAATGAACAGCAAGCTATTCGTCTTGCTGCCCATTTACAAGGACCAGCTTTGACGACATTAAGTAACCTTTGAGTTGAGAACTGTAACAATTATCTAGCATTGATAGCCACCTCATCCAACAGGTTTGTAGTGGCACAACAAAAAGAAGTATCCAGAGCAAAGTTCCAGAACAGAATATGGAGGAAAGAGAAGAACTTAGCTGAGCTTTTAGTGAATATGGAAAGACTTGCACAATTATCTTACCCAGACACTTTTTATGAAATGATGAATTTATTAACACATAACCATAAATGCCGTAATAGATGAGAATATGTGAATTACACTGAAGAAAACTAGGTATACATCCTTAAAAAATTCTGTAGTTTGCAATGGAACTAAAATCCATTGCATTGTGAATAAACTATTAAAGATGTGTGATTTGAAGGTTTGTATTGTGAGGAACTGTAGATTAAAGCCTATATGGAATAAGAACTCCTCCCAGAGGACACTAGAAAGGCAGAAATATTATAATTTGAGAAATATGGCCATTATAATCAAGACTATAAAGAATCAACAGCTGTTATTAAGCCACAGAAACTACCCTGAGGATGTACCTTTGAGCCCATTCAAATAACAGGAACAACAAAGAGCTAATTAGGCATAAATTAGACATGAACTATCTGGGTGTATGGGACAAAGTTTAGCTAAGAATACTACATTTACCCTCAAGTGAGAAAAAAAGTTCATTATTTGAGGAAAATTGTCTGCAAGTCTACAGTTTTATTGATGGAAAACCTTGCAATTTGTTGATCAACACTGGTTCTACAACTATAGTTGTTCAACCTAAGTTGTTAATTGCAGATGAGAAATTGCCTCCAGAGATGAAGAAAGAAAAGATTGATGTGAACAGTAAGTGATCTTAAAGTTCCAGCAAGAGGAAACTTTAAATTTATCCTTAATGTTGGAAGCTTCTCTACACATGATGCATGGGTAATTGACATTGGGGATGCATGAATATTGGGAAATGACTTCATGTGGAGTCACGTATGCAAGTTTAGGCTTCCTTAGATAGCTTCACAGTCTATGACCAGGAAATTCTTACGATACCACACAACAATTACTACACTAGAGGTTGAACTTCCAGTGAAAACAGGGAAGGTAATCATTGTACCACCAAGAAGTTTTATTAGCAATAATTCTTCATCTAGTGACAGGGGTGCAATGTAACCAAATACTCCATCATATCCTGAGGAATTGGTGGTTGAAAGAGCTCTCACAAATGTGAAGAATAAAGATGTTGTACATGACTTTACCCAGGAAAAGTTAGGTCAGCTTGTTATAAAATTACTATAATGATAATGTTGATAAAACCATATTTCATCAATGTAACATGGTATGACAGAACAACTGTTGTTGCAAGAGAGAGGAAAAACTCCAAAGTTAAGTAGGTGTTTGGAAGGGTCACATATACTGAGAAGAATTGGTGATGTGGACTGCAAGATTTAGAACAATAGGTGATCCAAGTTAAAGGTTATTCACTGTGCTCACTTTTGTAAGTATGTTGGTGAGAGATCTACCAACTGGGTAACTCCAGTGAAAAATCTGTGAATGGAAATTTAGTCTGCTGAGAAGCCCGGGGATTATGTCGAGACCACTTTTAGAGGATCAACAAGGATAGAGTTAACAGTGGCTTTATTTGATCAGTTACCTAGGCTGAACTTCCCCAGTGACTACAAGGAACAAGAGGCTATCTCATCTATATACTATGGGCCTCAGAAGAGAAAACCACCAAAAAGACTTGGTAAATGTTCAATGTAGTGTTTTATTTTTGTATCAGGATTGTTCAAGGGACTTTGCAATCCAGGAAGGGGCAGTGTTTATAAGCTATATTTTTAATGTTGTAATTTTGATGATGTTAAGACCAAATAAATTCTAGAATACATAGAATATTTGGTAACTGAGAGACCTTGCAAAGTATTTTAAAAACAAGACTACAGATATAAATATGAGTAGACAGTTCAGGTGTGATGAGTAGTGATTGAGTATTAAGTCAGTTTTAATTTGCTATCATTACATGTACTAGACTTGGCCTTATTTTCATCTAATGATTTAAAAGAGCCCATTTAACAAAAGAACAATGTTACATCAATAATATTGTTATAGGAATTTTTAAATTTTTCAGGTGTTTTTTCTGGACTTCAAGGAATCGTAAAGAATGAACATTTAATTGGACTGTACAAAGGAAATGGAGCTCAGATGGTGAGAGTTTTCCCTTATGCTGCTGTCCAGTTTTTGTCCTTTGAAATCTACAAAAAGGTGAGAGAACTGAGCCTAGTTTTATACTTGTATAATTTTTTTCTTTTGTCAGAAAACATGTTTAAAGATTCTACCAAAATAAACCAAGCTTCCATTTTTAATTATATTGTATCTTATATATAACATAATACACAGCTGTTTTTCATAAAAAAAAATTAAAAAGGACTACATGATTATGCTCCAATGAAAATATCAATGAAACAACTTAGATTATTATCAGTTAAGTATGTCAGTTTAACTTAATCTTTGTATAAAATGATCCATTGTATGTTACATTAAACATACGTATCTTGTGAAATTGTTAACCCTAATAACTGAAATTGTTAAGCCTAATAACTAATCGGATCATCAAGGGCACTTACTTCACCCAGGCCTTATACATATTCTCCGATATATTTTATTCTTAAAACTTGATCCACTTTACTTAAATTTTTTTTAGTTAAGCAATACAAGAGAAAATTCTTTCTAGAGCCATTTAATATTTTTAAAAGAAAAGTTGATCAGAATTATACTTTCCCTCTTCCAGTCACTTCATAAATCTCTAGGACACGCATCTCATTTCAGCAAGTTTGTTGCAGGATCCATGGCAGGTAATCTCTTTTCTATCCTTTTATATATATATATATGCTGATTTCAATTACAATTACCCTCAGTGTATATAGCCACTCTCACATTGATACATTTGTTTCACTTGCTTATATTAATTTTGAGTTTTCGTATATTGCATAGGCATGTGAACTTGAGCATATGAATGTAAAAGAACCATATTGACAGAAGTCTATATTCAGCCCTTGAAGGATCATCATCCACCCATTTAAAAAAAACAGTCAACCTAAACTAAATTTGGATTTTCATATCTATCTGTCCAAACAATGTCTAGTTTTGAGCTTTCAAAGTTTAAAAATTCTATTCTCTAAACGCCTAGCTCCAACTTAACCATTTTATTACTCAGATGGATTTGCCATAAGCAATTTTTCAAATCCCTTATGAATTTAAACGTTAATTACCTTTCATCATTTTTTACATACTAGAGAAAATAAATACGTTCTGTAATAAGAAGACCAAAACTTCATATCTTATACTAAATGAAGCCTCACCAAAATTGTATATCAAGGCTATAACACACTAAAAATGGTGTGTGTGTGTGTCTATATGCAGTTAGATACTCTTATGAATAATCAATAAGGAACTTAGAACCATGTTTTATGCAAACTACATGTATAATTTATGTTCAGTGAAAGTTAAGTAGAAATTGTGACTTACTAACTTTCTTAAAATTATTTGATAATATCACTGTTATGTAATATTAGCAGAATAATGAATGTTGCTTATAGTATTAAAGTAAAATCATTATCAATTGTTTGAAATAAGGCAACATTAATTTTATAACTACGTATAAGCAACTTTGCACATCAGCAATACACCTTAGATAAGATGTTACGTGTGATATGCTATATTATTACATAAACTGTAATAGTATCACTATTATGTAAGCACTACTGTTGAAAAACTGCCTGTCGATGGACATTAATTATGAATTATATATCACTTTATACAAAAAGTATACACGCAGTAGAGATTGAGTACATCATATAAAAACTATAACCACATCTTTGCAATCCATGTTGCCGTGTTTAGTCATGCTCTGTCTGACGACTGCTCATCTGGACATAGTTTCCATTGCAAAAGACTCTGTTGTGAGGTTGTCTTGTCCAAAGCACCCTCCTCCACTGTCAGGTGGCACTGAAGTAATATCTGATTTGTTTTCTCTTGTCAACAGAAACCAGTGGACAATGTTTGAATAGTAATTACATACTAAGTGTCACTAATTTGGAAAGTTTGATCTCTTGATATTGTTACGACAGTGGGGTCACGTGACGAGTATTCTAGAAGATTCGCTAGTGTGTTACGACAGCGAGGGTCACGTGACGAGTATTCTAGAAGATTTGCTATTGTGTTATGACAGCGGAAGTCAAGTGACGCTGGTAGCACGTGTTGAGAGTCTTAGAAGTTTCTAGAACAGGCAGTATTATCGTATATAAGTGCGCTAGACAGTGAGAGAGACAGACGAGGCAGAGACGAAGCAGGCAGAGAGAGAGAAAGACAGCGATTACGGTCGGCGGGAACTGAGGATAGCAGACACAGTGATCGGAACTATAGTTGGCGGGGATGGACAATTAAGTCTAAGTGCGATAGAAAGTGAGTGAATTGTTGTGAACTATAGTGTGTGTAACTGTGAAAATTAAGTGCATTACAAAGTTGTATTGAGGAAGAATAAACAAGTTTTATAAAAAAAGGACTTGTATCTTAGAAGAATTAACAAACAAACATACAGAGACGTAACAATATGTATAATGACAAAAGTCATTGTTTTACAGAAACAACCACCACTAAAACATTATACTTAGTAACTCCTACCATGCATTGGAGCAGACCATTATCGTGGAGTATAAGGGGTATGGTAGTGGCTGCATTGCTTCAGTAAAAATGTACTGAACACTTAGTGTGCAAGATGTAGGAAAAGTGTTATAGTAGAGTAAGTGTAAAATATAAAATATATGCTAACACTAATAATTTTAATGTTGAAAAAGGAGCAAAGGTGCAATTCTACACTTCTCTTCCTTAGGCATATGTTTAATTAATCAATAATGTTGTTTAAAAAAACGTGACTAAAGATAACACTCTCTCTCTTAAATTTTTCACTATACTTGAAGGTCCGTATTTTATTTTCTAATCAAACTGTTAGTGTTACTCCATTCTGTTTAGCTGTTTATTTATTACTATGTTTATTAGGTGCGTTTATAAACAACAATTTAATGTTAAAAAGTCAATCACCTGTTAACCTGCTTGGAATGGCGACTGTTAAATATAGATTTTTTTTTTTTGCTTAAATTGGCTGCTGTTATTGTAATTGGCTACAAATACGGTGATCTTGCAATGCAAGTTTACTTTATGTAGTTATATGGGTATCACATGTTACATCAATTTTTATTTAATGTATAAAAACATAATTACTGTTGTGTATAACACATTTTTTAAACAACATGTGAATGTTTTCAGTTATATGTATTACCTGTAAAATAAAAGTCTTCAATCAAATATAAAACAGTAGTTATGATGATTTTATCAGTAAATTATGTTAACTAGTACAACCAAACGTTGGAACATCCAATCTTTGAGATTTAATTAGAAACAAATATTTTATGATACAGAGGTCGTGTCACAAATAACTTTTGTTTATCATCTAGAGCAGTGTTACCCAACCTGGGCGGTACCGCCCCTTAGTGGGCAGTAAGTTTGAGGGGGGTGTCGGGGGGGACAGAAAAGTTTTCAGGGTTTCAAAGTTATATTTGTTAAAATTAAACCATAAGAATTGACTATTATTGCCTTACAATTTTCATTTTAGTTAAATATTTTAATGGTCTAAACATTTATTAGAAGAGGGCATGAGTGCTCATTGTTTACTGTTGCAGCAAAAAAGCTTGGGAAACACTGATCTAGCTAGAGTGATGCAGTAAAGGTAGTTTAACAAAATACAGCACTTAAGGGAAACAAGATCTGGTTTTCGACTCCTTGCCATCTTTTTTATGTCATCAAGGTTAAAGGCACAGTCAGTAAAGAAAGTATCCACTTTCTGAAAAGGAATGAGCTAGTTGGGTAGTAAATTAACGTAAGCTTGTGAATAGAGAAAACATGAGAGAGGTCAATTTTACAACTGTAAGGAACTTTGATGTAAGAGCAGAAAAAAATTCTTTTCAAATAGTGGATAAAAAAAATTCACATTAAACAAAAACTTCTATGTTGTTTAATAAGAATTTCAATTTTGGATTGTTTCTTTAACTGTTTATTCACAATTACATTATATAAAATTTAAAACACATTCTATCATCCTTAACTCTCTTTCTTTCTCTTTGTATACGTATATACGTATGTATAACATTTTACTCGTTTTATTAAAAAATAACATCTTTAGATAGAATATATGCAGATTCAGAATAGTTAAATATTAGGTTTTTAAACTGCAACACATGTGCTAATCACACCCAAACTGAGGCTACATTAAACTCTACATTTAAATATTTATCTAGATATCTGTACATAAACTGATATTACA